TGAGTCAGTCCGTCCGACCGTCCGTGTGTCCGTCAGTCCGTGCGTCAGTCTATCCAACGTCATATTTCAGAATCCTGTGGACCGATTCCGTTCATTCTTTGCATGTGCCTAGTACCTTATGTGGGACATATGCACATGCAGTGGTTTAGCGATTCGATTCAAAATAGCCGACTGGCAGCCATCTTGTTTTTTGAAAATGTTGTATTTTGGACATGCTTTGTCAGTTGTCATTCAAACTTGGTATCATAGATTATACATGTTAGGATACATGTCCATGACGATTTATTTTGCAATTGGATCAAAGATGGTCGACTGACAGGCATCTTGTTTTTTTATGCGGTATCTTGGACGTGCTCTGTCAGTTTTCATTCAAATTTGGCACATACATGTACGTTATACAGGTTAGGATGCATGTCCATGACAATTTGTTTCAAAATCTGGTCAAGGATGGCCGATTGACAGCCATCTGACTTTTTGGCCTTACTACTATATTTCCACAATTTATGTACCATTTTCATTCGTATTTGGCACATAAATCATACATATCAGTGTGTTTCATAATCAGATCAAAGATGGCTGAATAACGGCTGTTTTTATTTTGGCCATATTACTATGACACGAAGCACGTGTTTTGATGTAAATAAACAATCTGTTGTATACACCACTTGGAACTCAAGTTTCAAGGACAAGCTCGCGACAACCCCCTCGGCTTTAATATGACGAGCACAAAGAGAACTTAACGGGGACTGTGTCATTTTCAATGACTTGTTTACTTCTTTTTTTACTAAAACTAGTGATATATATTGAAATATTACAGTTCGATATAAAAAGTTAATTAAATGGTGTTATTTTTTAGAATTCCCCATTTGTTACCATTGAGGAGTTCTTCACTAACGGTTTTATTCTTGTGTTGGTGGCCAGTATTAGTATTCTAATGAAAGCTGTACTATGGGCGCATTCATTTGGCGATTCCGTCGATATTGGCATTTCTTTAAACTCAGCTATTCAGGTAATTGTAATACATATATATCAAAATAAATATTTATTAAGATAGGCATTTCTATAATTATGTATGTTATCAAAAACGTTCAGCTGAAACATTTCGAATGTGGTCAGATATCACAAGAAAAATACTGCACATTAGACCACGTGTTACCTAAAAAAGTTCACACACAGTTTTTCGGAATATATTTCCACATACAAATTACCTCATTTTGGAATATAAACATCAGTGTTGGGTATGAATAAATTACATACATTTTTTTACACATAGCACAAGTTTTTTTTTCCAACAGAATCATGTATATGAGAAAACTCTACGATTATCATCACAGTCGACAGATGAATTATCTGTTGGACAAACCGTCAATCATATAGCGGTTGATGGAGCTGCAGTTCAGTGGTTCTTCATATATTTCGGCTTCATGGTTTGTAATCCTATTCAAGTAAGTGGGGAATAAATATAATCCAGTTGAATTACTTTATCCATGGAAGATAATAGAAGCGTAGAGAGGACAAGTTTTAATCCAGATTTATTGATCCGTTTGTTTTCAATCGTTTTCGCCATTGCGATTTTGTTTTCAACACGTCATCGCTTCCATTTATTAATTAACTTAATAAAACAGGTTGGACTCACGATTATTGGGATTGAAAAAAAGGTAGTATACATGCGCAGATTGATTCGCATGATGTTATAGGCCATTGACAAGGCCTGAACCTTGAAACGAAATAATTTCTAGCGTTAGTAGACGACATGGTAGGACCATGTGTTAATAGGTCAGAGGTTGCAACACTTTATGTTCGATTTTTTCCTTTCCGAGTTCCTTTGCATATTTTATAATGAGTAAATTTAAATAATTCGGATTGGTATCATCCTCTTGAGGTTTTAAAAAAAATATAAATCGACCCTTCCTATGTATGTGATAAAAAGACAATCTCCCGGTAATCATTATTTGTGTGATGTTATCTTAAACTAGTTATTCCCAGTATAGAGTACAGCTTGAGGGGATACGACCGCTATGCGTAGAGACACTCGTATATGATGGTGTCACATCGTTCGGCCGAGAATACCGGAGGATTATATATAGTTACCTCGGGTCGGGTTTTATATCCAAGAAGATTCCTCGCACTTGTACTTTATCTGATACTAAAACAATATTGACCTTTTAATTCATCTACGCAGGCAATTATTGTTTGTGTTTGGCTATTCAATTCAATGGGAATATCAGGAGTGATTGGAGCATCTATTGTTGTTCTGGCAGTGCCATTTTTATTAGGATTTGGTGATATGCAAGGGAAGTCTCATCGCAGAAGTTTGGCAAGTACTAAAAAGGGTTTAAATCTATGCAAGCATGTGTTAGTGGAGCCAGATCTCTAAACAAACTTTTGAGCGGATTTTTGACCCTTTTGTTTTCACTTTTTCTAAAATTCTTCTCACTTAAATGAATCAAGGACGATCCTTCTTAACACATATAATTAAAGTAGGTGGTAAAATGATGTACAAGAACGGTTTTTGCATCTATACTTGTACAACAAATTACCGCAAAATCCCAGACTGTTGTTCCTTTCCCCGCGGCAGCATCACAATAGAATGATTTGAACCAAATGACTTCCCAAACCAACGAAAAGAAATAAATACATTCGGAAAATATCACAAGTGGTGAATTCGCTAGTGAGCTAGTTTTTGGATTTAACTATAATCTATAATTTAATACGATTATTCTAGTTAAAAACCAACCAAACTGACTGTAGTGAATACGATTTTTCCTACAATAGATTTACTCTGATGAGCGTTTGGAAAAGACCAGCGAAGTGCTTCATGGCATAAAGTTACTGAAATTGTATGCATGGGAGGAATTGTTTTCAACTGGTATTAAAAGTATACGGAATAAAGAAATGAAACAGAAACAATGCGTTGGATTATATTTCCTGCTATCGAGTAGGTGCATTACATTTTGGAATTGTATCTAGTAACTATATATATATATATATATATA